AGAAGTGAACATTTCCCAACCTTATTCTGATATCCAAACTACACAAAGACATTACAAGAAAAGACTATCCCTCAGTAAGATGGATGAAAAAATCCTTCACAGAATTAGCCACTCAAATTCAGCAATATATAAAAAGGATAATACAATGGAATCAAATGGGACATGTATAAGGAATGCAAAATTGGTTTAATATTTTTAAATGAGTCCCTTTAATTCACCATATTAATATATTGAAAAATACGTAATCATCTTGAAAAATGTAGAAAAAGCCTTTTAACAAAATTCAAAATCCATTCACAATAAAAACTTTCAGCAAAATAGTCATAAAAGGAAGCTTCCTTGACTTGATAAAGACCATCTATAAAAGAACACTTGCAGCTAATGCCATACTTAATAGTAAAAGACTTACTGTCTTTCCCCTAAGATAAAGAACAAGGCAAAACCCCTACGCTCACCACTTCTATTCAACAGTGAACTAGGAAAAGAACTAAAGGCATTTTTGTTCACATATGACATGATCATCTACGTAGAAAATCCCAAAGAATCTACCTGGAACACATGAGGTTAGCAAATTAACAGATTTAAAGGTCAAAAGAGAAAAATCAATTATATTTATCAGATATATTTCTTCATACTAGCAACAAGTTATTCTATCACAAAATAATACCTTTTGCAACAGCACCAAAACAATATGAAATACCTAGGAATAAATCCAACAAAATATTTACAATATTTGTATGCTTGAAGACTCCAGACATTCATGAGAGAAAATTAAAGACTAACTAAATGGAGAGATATTCAGTGTTCATTGATCCCAAAACTCAACACTGTTGTGATGTTAACTTTCCCCAAATTGAAATTTAGATTAAACACAATCCCAACCAAAATCCTAACAGATCTTTTTTGTATAAACTGATAAGCTGTTTCTAAAATGGCTATGGAAAAAGTAAATGATCTAAATTAAGCAATTTCGAAAAATAACACATTTGGAGCCGGAAATCACTACCTAGCTTCCAGCTCACAAGAAAGCTACGATAATCCAGATGGTGTGACATTGACCTAAGGAAGCACAGGTCAGTGGGACAGAACAGAAGAACAGACCCACATAGTCTCTGGTCAACTGACGTATAACAAAGGATCCAAGAAAATTCAATGGAGAAAAGATGGTCTTTTGAAGAAATAGTGCTGGAATATTTACACGTCTATATACCCAAATGAAAAAGCCCCAAATACCCACAGTTCAGCCCATACCTCACATCATGTTTAGAAATCGAGTCTGAAGGGATCATGAAACTGACTGAACCATAAAGCCATAAAACCTCCAAGTGAAAACATAGATACAAATCTTCACGATCTTAGGACAAAAATGCAAAAACCATATAAGAAAATATTGACAAATTGGACTTTATAGAAATTTTAAATTTCTTGTCTTTGAAAGATACTGTTAAGAAAATGAAAAGACCAGCCACAGACTGAGAAAACATATTTGTAAAACACACATCGGATAAAGGACTTGTATCCAGAATATATAGATATATATATTCTAAAACTCTCAAAATTCAATAATAAAAGGACAACCCAGTTTAAAAATAGGCAAAAGCTTTGAAAGACTTGTCACCAAAGCAAGTGTACAGACAGCAAATAAGCACATGAAAGGATGCACCAGCCATCGTCAGGGAATTAGAATAAAACAAGGTGTCCCACTCCACACCTGTTAGCATGGCTACTTGGTAAAGACTGGCCATGCCCAGCACTGCGGGGATGCGGAGGGACCGGCATTCTCATGCATGGCTGCTGGGGATGCACCATGGTTCAACCACCTGGAAAACGCTTTGCTACTTTCTGAAAACATGGAACACACACCTACCTACTGTAGGATCGACCTATGTATGAGCCCAAGGGAAATGAAAGTCAGTGTCTGTGCAAAGACTTGTACATGAATATTCATAGCAGCTTTATCTGTAACAGCAAAAACTGGAAGCAACCCCAAAATCCATCAACCAGGGCATGGAAAACAAACTAGGGTATAGTCACACGATGCTCAGAAAAAAAATAAATAAATAATGATGTGTGCAACAATAAATCTCACCGTAATTATGCAGAGTGAAAGAAGCCAGATCTAAAATATATATATATATATATATATACATACATACATACACACCACATGACTGCATTTATACGCAGTTCTAGAGAAAATAAACTAATGCAATGACGAGCAGCTCAGGGGCGGCCTGGGGAGATGGGCTTGTCCGGAGGAACTGGGAGGGAGGAATGAAAAACCTTTAGAAAGGTGGTTATTTTCCACATCTTGAGGATAGAGGTGGTTTCGAGGGCGTAAAGGGAAGTTTCAAAGCCCCGCATGATACACTCACTCGGCTATTCCAGGCATCCCCGTGAGAAAGGTGAGCTGTGGGCCCTTCTGGGAAGGAGGGGGCGACGTGCTAACAGACCTGCAGGGCGCTCCTAGTGTTCAACCCAAGGGTTTTCCATCTGGCAGTCTAACCCCAGGGAGGTCGTCTGGATCCGGGAAAACCTTCTGCTCAGAGGTGCTCAGTGCCATGCTGTCTGCATGAAAACCCAGAACCAACCTCTACTCGTAGGGATGCAGGTCCCACACAATGAGACACGGGGCAGACTTTAAAGGGTTGCTTGGTAGGAGCTTATTCTAACAGGAGTGTCTCTTACAAGGGGGAAGACAGAAGGCAAAATGGGAATGGATAGGAAAAAAAAGGAAAAGGAAGATATTCTAAAATTTTCATATCTTACTTTGTCTCTTTTTTTTTCCTTTTCTAGATTTTTTTACCGTTTCGATCATGAGAATATACTCACTTTATGAAAAAAAAAACAAAACCCTGTATTTCATAAAGAAAACGCATCTAATGACCTGTTAGAAGGACGCAGACCCTTGTGTCTCACTGGTGTCCAGAACAGGGGCTGCACAGCTGGCCGTTGGGTGCGGGGACCCCCAGGGCCGGGAGGAGACAGCGCCAACCTGCGTCCACGGAGGTCATGAGCCAGGGCCTGCGGGGAAGAAGCCTTCTCTTCTTTCTTCCCTGGGTTCACTCCAGCAGCTCTGACAGTGACCCCAGCCTGCCGCCGCGGCTCCTACCAGGAGGGGGTGTCCACCAGGGCTCTGGGGCCCGGGTCTCTCCACGACGGCTGCGCGCTCTAACCCTGGAGACGCCGTGTGCGAAGCAGACGCTGACCGAGTCTCCGGGTGTCTGGGCTTGAACATTCACGGCCTTCCCCTTGAGTCAAAGTCCTCATTGCGAGCAGCACAGAATCCCCAGCCGAGGCCCCTTCCCTCCTCTAGGCTTGGGTCTGGCTTCACGTCGAGGCCAGGCCGTTGTTGGGCCCAACCCTCCATAGCACGGATGCGGGTTCCCACGGCCCGCCTCATCAGCTGCACCCGCCACGGGGGTTCTGATAGAACTTCCTGAGCTGTCACAAAGTGCTGGCTTGCGGGGCCGTGGGGAAGGGTGCCAGGGGGCGGCCATGGCCCGCCGCTCGCTGTCCTGTGCGGCCAACAAAGGCCGGCTCCCACCTGTGGCTCCCGAGCACCCTCAGGCGCTCCCCGAAGCCCGCCCGGGGCACCACACCTGAGACAGGAGTCGGGCGGTTCGTGCAGGAAGACGGGTGGGGGGTTGTTTCCAGAAAGACCACGTTTCTGCACTACAGAGGGCTGCTCCAGCATCCAGGCAGCTCGTGGGTCTGGAAACCAGGCAGGAGAGAAGTGAGAAGATGTGGCGTGTGTCCCACGTGGAATGCCAGGGGCACGAAGCCTCCACGAGCTCCTAGAGCAGCCTGTTCCAAACTTCGGGGACGGAGAGTCTTGTCGCCTTCTTCGTAGCAGCCTGGCTGCGGGGACCCTCGCAGCCGCTCAGATATCCCCGCCGGGACCTCCAAGCGGCCGGCCCTGGAGGGCGTCTGTGGGCTCCCTGCCCACGTCCGGGGGGCGGCCTCAGGGCAGTGCGGAACCACGGAAAAGGAAACCGGGACACGAACGCGTCGCCCCCAGCCCTCGGCCGCACCTTCAGCCCAAAGAGCGACACACCGCCATGTACTAGACTTTCCGAAGTCCCCAGAGAACCTCAGACAAAGCTGGCCTTTCACCCGTAACCTGGGAGCGAGGTCACGCCCTGGCCTGACCTGCTCGTCCATGGCAGCTGCCGCGGCGGAACTGTTCAAAGGCTTGGACCCACTGAGAATATTCTGGTACAAACTCCGGTCCGGGGTTTGAGCGAAGGGATCCCTTCTGTTCTGTGACCGGCTCGGCCCCACTTACGGGCAGAGTCGCGGCCGTGGCGAGCGTCCACCCGCTTACACAGCTGTCCGGCCGATGTTCAGATCCCCGCGTGCCCGTGTCTTGCCGGATTCCCCGTGGTATGCGGTACTGTCTCCACCACGACCACGGGTTTCCTTGGAACGGCCGGGGAGACCCAGCCATGGCGGGGTAGCCGCCGCGTCTGCCGCGGAAAAGGGTGGGAAAGCAGCTAACAAGCTGCTGCTTCCCCCAAACGCAAGTTCCTCGCATAAGAAGTGGTGTCCGTGGACAAAATGTGAGTCCTGAGCAAGTGTCACAGACAAGACCCCACCCGACCCCGGGGCCATCAACATGCCTGGAACTAAACAAGAAAACCAGCCCAAAGGCGTCCCCCTGCACCGGCTGCCCCCGTTGGGGGACGAGGGAGCCTGGGGGCGGAGAAACCCACTGCCCACAGGGAAGCAGGCCCAGCCTCCCCGGGCTGCAAGCAGGAGCACAGAGCCAAGGGCATCGCAAGCCTCCCGGGCCACCATATTCTCCGCCCAGCTAAGAGGACATGCTCTTGCACACTGTTCACTTCCCGCGACATAGGGCTGCATACTAAATATAGAAGCGAACTCAAATGTAATAAGCATGTGCACAGAGACCTGGAGCCCAGGCCGAAAATAGCAAAGCCTCTGCAGCATTCAGATCAGGAAGCCTGCCCCCCTCAGAGCTGGGCCCCGGCTCTCACCTCTGCTGCCTCCTGACCGTGGATCCCTCTGGCTCGGCCGGGACTCAGGCCCGCGCGGGCAATCCGCTCCCAGGGTTCTTCTATGACTCAGCAGAGCGCTCAGCTCTTATTTTTCAGATGGAATTTACCAGCCCTGCATCCAGGGGGAGGGACCATCTCTGCCGCGTTTCTAAGCAGATGCCGGCAGCCGGTCCCTCGGCTCTCCTCCCTGCCCAGGCTTCTCAGGAACGCCCAGCACCGCGCTCCATCCCCAGACCGCATAGAGGGCTACCGGGTGGGGGAGGAGGCGGTCTGCCCTGCCCGCGGGTGAAGGCACAGCCCTGCGGACCCGGCCTGGCAGCTGCTCTTCCCCGTGTGCACAGCAGGAGGAATCCCGGGCCCGGGCCTGGTCTGGCCACGTCCTCACCGGGAAACAAGTGGGGGCCGTGGGCCGCACTGCATGAGTCTGGTGCACAGAGATGGCCCCCGGTGACCAGCTGCTTCAGGAGGTCATTTCAGTCCCCTTCTCCTTAGAAAATCCCCTCTGGATTTTACGTAGCTATAAGGTCAGTGATACGAAGGCATTTCCACTCCAAAAGGATGTTTTATTGTAAATGGTGAGGTGCTAGAAGGATGAGTATCCATTAAACGCTGAGGAATGAAAACATACGAATGAATCTGACAAGTGAGGCCATGGCCGGTCGTGTGAGTGTGGAGCACCCAAGCTCTCCTGGCCGTTCATGCAGCCAAATCCCACCATGAAGCTCCAGAGAAGCAAAGTGCAGCGAAGTAGGCGCTTTGGAAAAGGCAGGTCCTACAGGGTTCCAGGCTGCAGGGCACTTAGGAACAGCTCGTCTGATTGGATCAAGGAAACAATTACGACCAGTGATGCAGGTGGCCTTGCCCTGCGCTGCCCTGCCCAAGACGTTAGCCGAAGCTGCACTGGGGTCTAGAACCAGGAGGGGATGAGGGACGAGGCTCCCAGCCGTGGTTCTCCCCAGTTAGGGCCGGATCCTTGGCCAGTGGGGGCGCTGCCTGCCCCTCTGCTCCCAGCCAGCCCTGTGCCCGCCCTTCCCTTCCACCTCACCCCTCCAACTTGGACCCAAATGTCCAAATTTCACCCCACCCTAGACCCAGCGGGCGTCATACTGGCAGGAACCCACAGAGTGAATACCGATAGCATCCAGTATGATCATGAGAATGTGGGAAACTGTAGGTTTGGGTTATCCTTGTGCTTGTCCACACCTGCGTAACTGTAAGTTAGCACACATTACCAAGCTGTTCTGGTTAACGCTGGCGCGAGCCTTCCACAGCAGCAAGAACCCTGCTCGCCGACACTCTCCCGAGCTCTTCACAGGCACGGACCCGTTTCAGTCACGACAGCCGCCCTGGCTAACAGTTGTTGCCATCTCTCCCGCACAGGTGACGGACCTGAGGCCTGGAGGGGCTGGGCGGCTTGCCCGCGGTCACACAGCTGACAGGTGCTGGGCTGACATGCACCTGGGGGGATACTCCGGAGACCAGGTCAAAGCCCACCCGCGCCGAGGGGCCCATGCTAGCGACCTGGGACAAGGATGCAAACGCTCGTGGGGCCGGTTCCAGCCCCGCGCCCGCGTCACAGGGCGGCTGCTCCTCAGGCCAGAGGCAGACACAACAGGGGGTGCACAGCCATGAACTCAGCAATGTGACGCCTGGAAGTGCACCCCAAGGAAATGCTAGAATAATGGTGTTTGAGCCAATATGACTTCATACTTTCACAGCACTCACCCTGTGCCAGGCGCAGCTCTAACAACTTCAAATATAGCTCATTTAAGGATGATTACGGTAATGTTGCCCGTAACATTACACAAACAATTGGCAGCATCCTAAGTGTCTGCACAGAGATAATTGACATCAGCGATGGAATGTGCATATACCAGAATACAAGGGTACCATCTGAACATGGCTTGTCTATACTCACTGACACGGAAGGATGGAAACAACATATTCAGTGTTTTTAAATGCCTGTGTGTATACGGGCACCTGCCTGGCTCCGTGGGTGGAGTGGGAGACTCTTGATCTTGAGGTTGTAAGTTCAAGCCCCACGTTGGGCATAGAGATTACTTAAAAATAAAATCTTAAAAAAATAAATAATAGATAAAAAAATTTTAAAAGTCAGTTTGTATAATACATATGATCACATTTCTATGTCAAAAAATAAGTGTGTGCATTAAAGACAGAAATATAGACCAAGAGAATAGAGAGCCAAGAAAGAAACCATTGCATATATGGCCAAATGATTTTTGGCAAGGGTGCCAAGACTGTTCAATGGAGAAAGGACAGTCTTTTCAACAAATGGTGCTGGAAAACTGGACGTCCCCATGAAAGGGGATGAAGCTGGACCCTTACCTAACACCACACCCTGAAATTAACTCAAACTAGGTCAAGGATCTAAATATGAGACCTAAAACAACTAAGCTCTTATGAGAAAACATAGGATCAAAGCTTCATGACGCTGGACGTGGCAATGATTTCTTGGATACGACATCAATGGCCCAACAAGAAATGGTCAAACTGGGCTTCATGAAAATGTAAAGATTTTGTGCATCAAGAGACACGATCCACATAGTAAAAAGGCAACCCACAGAATGGGAGAATATATTTGCAAATCCTGTATCTGATGAGGGGTTGGTATCCAGAATATATAGAGAACTCCCACAACTCAGCAACAAAGAAACAAACAACCAGCCTCAAAAATGGGCAAAGGACTTGCATAGGCACTCCCCAGAGAAGACACAGAGATGGCCAAAAAGCTCATGAAAAGATGCTCAACACTGCTCATCGCTGGGGAAATGCAGATCACAACTACGAGACACCACGGCACACTCATTAGGATGGATTCTATCAAAAAGAAAAAAACAGAAAACATCAAGTGTTGGCAAAGATGTGGAAGAATTGGAACGTTGTCTACTGTTCTTGGGAATGCAAAATGGTGCAGATGGTGTGACAACAGTTTGGACTGAACTAAAAAATTAAAAATAGAATTACCGTAGAACCCAGTAATTCCACTACTGGGTAGCAAGGTCTCGAAGAAATATTTGTACCCCTGTGTTCATAGCAGCACTATTCAGAAGAGCTAGAACATGGGAGCAACCCAAGTGCCCACTGATGGATGAGTGGACAACCGGTCCATCCTTACAGCGGAATACCATTCGGCCTCAAAAAGGAAGGCAGTTCTGACGCGTGCAGCAGCATGGATGGACCCCAAGGACGATGCTGAGTGGGATCACGCAGACACAAGTATCATGTGGTTCTGCTTACATGGTGCACTTAGGTCAAGGTCACAGAGACAGAAGCCGGATGGTGGGCTCCAGGGGCAGGGCAGGAGAATGGGGACTTGGTGTTTAATGGGGACAGAGTTCCAGTTTTATGAGATGAAAAGAGCTATGGGGGTGGATGGTGGGGACGGCTGAACAACAGAGTGAATGTTTGTAACACCACGGAACTGTACACTTAGACGGTTAAGATGTTAAGTTTTGTGTTGTGTGTATTTTAACACAATACAAAAGTGAAAAAAATGTGTGTGTGTGTTGCTTTCACAGAAAAATTGGAAGAATGAAAATGTACATAGCAAAGTACAAAGTGGCGGTGTCTCCAGGGGATGGGATCTCAGATGACTTGACTTTTGGCTTCATATCTTTCTGCCTCGTACATACTTTTTCAAACACTGAATATGTATTCTTAGAATAAAAACAACTACTTTCATCCTCAAACGAACTTATGCGCATGCACAGACCTACCTACAGGCCTTCCATCGCCGTGCCCAGCACGTCCTCACACCAAACCCCGCAGGAGACGATGTCCCTTCCAAAGCCCCCAGAGGGCTGGGAGAGGAGGGGGGCACGGAGAGCTGTGCTGATTCACAACACTTCAGGAGCAGTTTGCTCATTCGAATAGCACCTGTCTTCCTAATTATGAAAGTATATATGCGCATTGTAGAGAATTTAGAAAATAAAAGAATGCATGCCTAAGAAAACAGCAATCCTTCCCTAGTCCTCCAGGAGAAGCTGGGTTTTGAACAGGCCTCCCGAGGTGTACCGCCGCCTTCAACCCCAACTTGGAAGGTCTCTGAAACCAAGGCTGAACGTCCAGGATGGACCACCCCTACCGATGGCGTGGAGAAGCTGCCTGGCAAGGGCGTTCTGGGGGCACCACGTAACCTGTGGGCATCTCCACTTTCTTCTCTGCAGAAGGGTCACCACCCACGGCCATCTCACTAGGTCCCCAGAGGGCCCAGGTCTGACCTCTGCCCCCCACCCCCAGCTTCCACCTTCCTGCCCGGGGTCCTTGTCTGCACTCCTTAGGAGAGCTTGGCTGTGCCCAAGGCCACTCCCACATGCGCCTTCTGTGGCCCCACGGCTCCCAGCCGCGGACGCACACTTGCTGCGCTGGGTGGCACCTCCATCCCAGACCAGCACATCCAGAATGACTCTGCCCCTTCCCCCAGTCCACCCTTCTTGCTGACCATTGTCCCTGCCTCCTCTCCTCCCTGCCCTACGGTCCACGACCCCACCTCCTGCCAGGACCCCTCCCCTGGGGTCCATGTTCGGTCACCCTTAGCACCCGGCACCGCGTCTCTCATGCCCCAGACCCGTTCTTGTCATTCCCAGCATGGCTCTGCCAGTGTGGACGCATCTTCATTATTATCACTTCATGTGTTTTGAAAAATAGCAGAAACGGTATCACACTTTACGTATCCTTTGCAGTTTTCCACGTTTGCTCAACACCATGTCTTTGATGTTCATGCACAGTGGTGCTTGCAGATGGTTCTCTCCGGCTCCCATGTGGGAGCGAACCATATCACGTGACCATTTCCCATGGCCCCAGCTGACGCAGAGCCCAGCAGTTTCTACTTTCCCACCTTCACAAATGATGCTACAGTGACCACAGCCTCGTAGGCATCTGACGCACGTCTGCTCAGATGGCTCTGGGCAGGTAGCCAGAGAGGGCTGGGGGGTGGGCTCAGGCGTCCATGACCGGCCTCAGAAATGTCTGCCTCCCACAGCGTGACGCTGGCCAGTGTGGTGGCCGAGGGGACCCTGTTGCAGGCGTCACTACATCCCTGACTCCTAACGAGGGCTCTCTTTGCTATGCCGACTGCTGCCCACATCTCTGCAT